AAAAACCTTCGTTTGAAAACACAGGTTGACCCACAAGAAAAACTTTCCCAAAGGATTTTCAACTGCACTAACTTATTAACATAGGTTTGTTATTTATGTTATATGATTTTTTTTATTGGATCCTGTTGATGGTTAATTTGTTTACTGCTGATTTACCGAAGAGAACGGTTTTCAATCATTGGTTCATTGATATTGTTTATGAACCACCCTGTACAAAGTATTTGTACAACAAAGTAATTTAAAAATTTTCTGAATGTTTTTCAGGAAATATGCTCTGGAGAAATTTTATATATTTATCTCTTAGTCTTTGCAGAAGTTCAAATTTGCTCTGATACAACTTTGCGGTTTCGTTTCTGGTTAACTTCTTAACCTGCGGTTAAGCAATTTTAACCGATGTACACCCTAGCGCAAAAACCTGGTGCAAAAACGTGCGAAACAACAGCAAATTTTGTATCGAGACGATTGGGAGTGATATCAACTGGAAAAATAAATTACGAAACCAATAATGAGATAAATTACAAAATAAATTACCAGATAAATTATGGGGCGGAGCAGACGCATGATGATCAATCACGTTCCTTTTTCTTCAACACAGATGCGGGGGAAAAAGCGCGTTTTCACCTCCACGAGAGCATCGCAGGCACCTGGTCCGCGCCTGTTGCACGCCTGTGAGAAGCGCGCGGGGAGGGAAGGCTCCTCACGCCCGAGCGCGTCACGCACCACGGATCCTCGCCGCCCCGACCCCGAAATCCGGTCGTATGCGCCAGGGGCGATTTTTTCCCTCGTTTTTCGGTTTTCGCCCTGTTTTCGCTGAAACCGCGGGGCGTCCTCGTATGCTAATGCATGCAGATTCATGCAGATTCCATGCAAATTCATGCCAAATCCGGAAAAAGTGACTTTCGCGTTCGCCGACCCCCTTCTCCGGAGAAAACGGCTAACCGAAACCTAACCGACAGTTACGTCCTGCAGGTGGGAACTATGGGGAGCGATGGGGAGCTCTGGGGGCGAAGAGGGGCTATGGGGGGCGCAGGGGGGGCGACGGGCGGCCGAAGGGTGTGCGTGACGCACTGGTGCGTGAAATCGGTCGTATTATGAACTCCATCGTCCCACTGCTCCACATTCTCGTCGATCGGGAGAATCACGTCACTAATTGTTGCACTCATCGCCGTCATCATGCGGCTGAGCCATCATCGCACTTCGTCATGTGGCGGAGCCGCCTTCTTTCCTTCCCAATGGGGGAAAAAAAAGACCACAAGGCATATGTCTGGGAAATTCATCGGCGATCAGGTTGTGGGAATCCCAAAATGCGTTGAAGCGCGGCAGGTTTTCATTCGTTATTTATTTTATTTACTTCACTGCATAATTTTTTAAATTTTACTTTATTTTTTGGTTATATATATATATATATTATTTATTTATTTATTTTATTATTTATTATTATTAATTCATTCTAAAATTCATGTTTATTGCATAATTTTTTTAAATTATGTATCAAATTGTACTCCTAATGCATACAGGGTGGGACAAAAGTCAGGGAACATAGGAATTTTTGGGGAAATTAATTTCCAAAGTGACTGTTTGATGGGACCACCTTTCCGTATCTCTTTTTCGTCAAATTGGCATACAATAGTCGGAGCCCATTGATGAGTGCTCCCGCTGCAACCATTGAAATTGGCTGGAAATGAACGTCCGTTACTCACCTGGAACAGGTATGGAAACTTTGGTTATAATGAATCACTTCCATTGCTGTTCATGTTGGTGGAGTGAGTGTATTTTGCCATAATTTGACGGACGACATTCGGAAGGGATTTTTGACTGGGCGTTGCAAAAATAACCTAACAATGGTGTATTAAACCGAAAAACGGGTGGAGTTCATGAAGATACAGGCCTACGCAAAAATAGATAGCAGTTTTCGGCAAACTAGTATGATTACCATAAAAGACAGCCAAATATGCCAAGACTATCGATCCACTGCATTTCTAATTTGATAGCAAAATTCCAGGTAGTGTTCTCGATAAGAAAAAAAAAAAGAGAAAGGGGCCGACCGAAGGAGAAGCCGACAAAACCGCACTTCTGGTCCTGGAATCCATACAGCCACAAAAATCAACGCGAGAGATATGAGAGGTGTGGGCATTAATGGAAAGTTGGAAAGAAAAGAGAATTAAATTCCCCAAAACTCCCATGCTCCCTATCTTTTGCTCCACCCTGTATATGCGTATGTATATAAATACATAAGACCACGAAGAAAAGGATACCGAAGCTCCAGGCGAGATTATTGATGCTGCTCGACCGCCTTCGTCCGGGTGGGGGGGGGGGGGGGGGAGAGGAAGGTGATGGCCGGTCGAGAGCATGAACGGCTTCTTCAACCTGTTTCTGCGCTGCACCTGACATGCTAGGAATAGTAAATACGAGTCCGAAGTACTCCGCATTCCTTATATAGATATAAATATCAATGTATCAACAAGATATGAGGAGTTACATACATATATCTTTTTTTTTTCTTGCGTTTATTTGATTGTTTTCTCTTTCATTACCTCCGAGCCGCTGCTTTCTGGGTTATCGGCGGGTAATGGTTCCTTTCCAGTTAAGAAGCGAGAGAGATGATCTTGGGTCCATCTCCGGGACCTCGCTTGAGTGCCCCTATGCAGCGGCGTGGTCAGCCCCGGGTGGAGGTGGGGGGGGGGGGACTGTGCCACCTCCACTTGTGAGGGGGAGGTGGGATTCCGCGGTGTCATATGACGACGAGGTATGCTATGACACGAAGCCGTATAGCACGACGAGGTATGACATGACACGACGCGGCATGCCGTGACCAGTGGCGCAGTGGAGGGGGCCCACATTTAGACCGGAGTTGGGGGGTCTAAATGAATCCGCCATCCCCTCCCCCCGGGCGAAGAGAAGCAAGGCCCTCACCGTTTCGCTTAGCAAAATTGGCGACTTCCTGGCAAGGCCACTGGCCATGACATGAGGTGGGGCCCTGGCTACGCCACTGCATCTGAGCTGACCGGAGTGGGTGATCGGAGCGGGGATGCCTCACCTGGCAAAGCTCCTTGATATGCTGCTGGTCCACCAAGCAAAAATCGTTGGCATGCTATCGCCCTTCCACGTCGTCGGGTGAGAACGGGATGACGAAGTCGATCGACACCATTCCAATGGAAATCCTCTCATTTTTCTCGATTAATCTTGATTAGCATTCCCAAGGGGAATGACCTCATCGGGAGTAATGACCTAATACGCTAGGAAGAATGCTCATCCTCCTCTTATTTATCCCTTTCCGTTCCTCCGTCGAAAGAATTGATACATTTTCCATCTCTTCCAGGCTGAGAGAGCATTGTGCAGACGCACCAAGCACAGAAATGCCGCCTAGAAGAATGGAAGAAGAAACTTACTATCTTTTTTTTTCATTTACTATTCGTTTATTAAAATTGGAGCATGGTGAGTTACAATTTTGGCTAAACCACAAATATCAGTGTTTATGAGGAAAATAAATTCGAGCTGCTACGAAAATAACCACCCAGAAAAAAGAGCGGAACGAGTTAATTCGACCCTGCGTCGAATGGCAGAAACTCGAACAAAAATCTGCATGAAAAATTATGCACAGCCCACGTGGAGATGCAATCCGGACCGCGTCGACTGCGGAGGAAGCGGCGCGGGCGTCTTCCTTCGCTCCGGTGACGTCACAAACATCGACGTTTGAACGAGATGGCTGATGCACATGCGCTGGGAGACCAGTCCGTCACTGCGCATGCGCAATCGCGTGCCGACGTCCACATGCAGTTGCAGGGCCGAGTGTCATGGCTGCTGTGTGACTTCCTATTGCTTCCGTTGCTGGTCGAGATTTATCGCTCTATTCGGCGCTGTCACGTCTTTAGCCTTTAGGTCTAAGATCGGGACGAATGGAAAACGAACGAGGCTCACTCTCCCCTGCGTTTGGGAACCTACAGGAGCGTTCCGCTGAAATGTAGGCACTGCAGTCTGATGCTTTGGCCGTGAGTTTTTTCGCTGCAACTAGTTATGTCCAGGGGAAGTACTTCCACACGTCGTTTTCATTGCACAATGTTCAGTCATTGGGTCTCCTTCATGTGCGAGACTCAGGAGTTTAGTGATAAAACGAGGAAGAGATGTAGGGATTGTGATCGAACCCGGAATGTATCAGCGTCTGAGTGCACAGGATTATGCAAATTAGCTAGATCCACTATCTCCATTGTACCATCCTGTTTCTGTGGTGCAACCGAAAAGGTGAGAGTATGCCTCACATGATGAGGATAATATTAGGCTCTTGGGGTCATGTTTATGATGAATGAATGGGCAGCATGAATTTATTTGCAAATCACTGTGAGCTGTTGGGCTGACAGCTGTTTCTCTCCAAGGAGGAACAAACTGTGGAGATATGAAGAGATTAGGAGCTGTGCAGCCCTGGATATAGCCATGGTATTCATCACTGGGGCTCAGCCATGTTGTCTGATGCATCCCCAAGTATGAATCACACTCCAAAAGCATGAACTCCTAGTAAATTAACCATGAACCATATATCTATATCATGTGACCTTTACTGTGATAAGGTTTCCTTAGTGTATATGTGGTAGACCTTATGATAATTCTTCAGCTAACAAAATTCTGTATCACTAGTTCCTAGGAAAGTTCAGGTGTCACTTTATTAATTTAAACTCTATTCAGATAGCTCACATCAAATTGCATGAGGTATATCTCTAAGTTATTCTAGAGTAAGCCTGTGAAGTTGATTGAAAAGCTAATTTGCCATTCTTGTAGGATTGATCTTTTATGACACTTCCAGGACTAAATTAGGCCCATGCCTAACTGTAGTTCATGTGTCATTGCACTTAGCCTACTTTTATAAGCAAGTCTGGCCCTGAGACTCTATGTTCAAAGAGATTGGGCTTGCAGGCCAATGCTTCTCTTAGCACATGAGAGGATTAGTGAGTTTAGCTTATTTTATTGCTTGAATGACATTCTTGTCTTGTTTCTCTATATCATTAATTAGGTCTCATGAATCTGGAATATCTCCATGTTGTGCTCATGATGGGATCATTTCAATCATGATGCCTTGGATGGATGCAGTGTAGATCCTCCAGGTTGAGTTGCAGATTGCAATTCAGCTTAGTTATACTTGCTGAATGTTGAACTAAAGCTTATAGGACCCATCATTAAAATGAGTGAACGAACAAATGATCCAAAGGGGGAGTCCAAATGTATGGACTTTGTTGTGGTACCCCTGCCAAGTGCAGAAGATCAAATTTTTGACCGGTGAGTATTTTGAATTAGTCAAATGTCACAAATAGACTCTAATACCATTCTATAATTTAGAATGACTCCATAGGTGTTTATATAAGTCTCAGTAGTTAAATGCATGTGCAAAGCCATTTGTTATCATAGAGTAGGTCAATTCTAGCCTTATCTTTTATTGCAGCCTGAGAGAAGTATCTGAGAAGTTCAAGAAGAGATCTCCAGTGCAGTCACCATCATCTGTTACCACTTTGCCTGCTGATGGCAATGTCATACAAATGGTGATTGGGCCCAACCACATTGCATACCTGACCAAGGATGGCCGGATTGCACGAAGGGCATACTCAATCAATTCTGAGAAATTATATCTCAACAAATCAGATGCTAGGAGCAGGTAGGGTCTTGTCAAGGCATTTCTTGTGTTTTAGACTATTGAAACTTCTAACTATAAGGATGAATTATTCCTCATTTAGCAAAAATGGAGGCCTGTCTCGTCAGCTGGCCAGTGGTGGTGGAAATAACCGCAACCGAGGACGTCGAGGCACCCTCTGTATCTCGCCAGGAGTGGGAGGTGGGTCTAGCAGTAGTGGGGGAGCTGCTGGGGGTGGTGGAGTCAGTGCAGGTGGCAGTGGAGGTGGAGGAGCACGTCCACCTGCACTAAGAGCAATCCGATCAGGATCATCTGGGGCCACTCTCACTCGCTCAACAGCAAGAATGAGTACTGGAGGTGGTGGCACGGTCATAGTTGGATCAAGACCTGTTGTCCCTGCTACATATGTACCCGAAGAGCTCATATCTCAGGCACAAGTTGTCCTACAAGGAAAAAGCCGATCTGTCATCATCAGAGAGCTCCAGGTGAGCTATGCTGTATTTGAAACTTTTTTCCAGGAATAGAAAGCAATTCATACATTTCCAGTTTCAATTTCAACTATCATTATTATGCAGAGAACTAACCTGGATGTGAACTTGGCTGTGAACAACTTGCTGTCCCGGGAAGATGAAGATAACGATGGGGATGCTGAAGGAGACAGTTATGTATCAGATGATCTCATCTCACTTCTTGATGCTGGCCTTTCCACTGACCACCCATCTGTAATAATTGATGCTGATGGCATGTTCTCAGATGATGTCTTGGCTTACTCACGAGTCAGGTGAGCCTCTCCATGCATTCGCATATTTGAGTGATTTGATCCAATTATCAAGGTTTCTGCCATATTTGTCATTATTGCTATTGTATGCTGACTTGGTATTTGAAAGATGATGATGATTTGTAGCAGGTCTTCTCGTCGTTCACCCTTGGATTCGAGAGACCAGGACATGCGGGATGCAGCAATGGCAGCTGCAGCTGCAGCAGTTGCAACTGCTGAACGAGACCGAGATGGTCGAGATGCTGATTCTGGGAGGGAGACTGTATTCCGCTGGAGGGAGCGATGTGTGGGACCCCCACGTTGGCTGGAAAATGCCCTAAGAGACTCATTCCTTGATCGAGAGACAGGTGAGCCTATCTTCCTTATGTTGGAGTGCATTTGTAAGTGTCTCGGTATTGCAGGCTATAAGAAAAAGTTAATCTCATTCTGGAAGGTATGGAGTATGGCTCCTATGTGGGCTTGGACTAGGAAACTTGTGATCTAGATTTTGGGCTTTGCCAATGTATAATTTAAATTGTTCAATTTGATGGCATGCAATTGATCAGGGGATCTTGTAAAAGCTGTATATAGTTAAATGGTTTTTTCAAGGATCATAGTTCTACCAGCATTGATGTATTTGTTCCTATCAGCCTTTCTCAGTAATTTATGCCACTAGCCAGGTTAGGCCTCTTTTCATTGGTCAGATTTTAATTCAAAATGCTCACACCATTGTTTGAATTGCTATGATTTCTACTTTATTTTCATGAAATAATATAAATTTTCCAGTTATTGCCTTTCATGATGAGCTAGTTTTGTTTTAAAATGAACTCTGGATTTTTGTGACTTAGGAATGGATGAAAAATGTTATGTTCATTTTTTTCCTTTATCCCCAAGTTCCCAGTGTTGCCATTTGTTCAGATGCCCGCAAGAAGGAGAGTGCGGGGACATCAAGTTCTAGCAGTGTCAGCTCAATCTGGTTCTGCCCGACTGAAGAAGTGTGGACACCAGAGTCTGGTGTGACCTTTACCCACATCGCTGCCCTCCACTCAGAGCTCATTGCTGTGTCATGCGATGGGAAGGTCCATCAGTGGAAGTGGAATGAGCCCTCTCCATATAAACAACCTGAGGTGGGCTGCTTCAGAAGTTCCACTGCAGGATTAAAAATTTTTTTTCTTAGAAATAAGTTGGTAGATTGGAGATTTTGCCGCAGAGACTAGAGCTTCTGAAAAAAATTCCTCAAAGTGAACAAGAGGTTGTACTGGAGAGATGATATCCATCTGAAGTCAAATGGTGCCCCATTTGAAGTTCATACAAGGAATTAAAAACTCAGATCAAGAGCGACTTCTGCCTCTTGTTAAAATCTGATATCAATTGTGACCAAAGTTGTACGAGATGCAAGTTATGTTCTCCCAGAAGCTTTGTTTTTATTATTTCAGTCTGCAGTCTGCACTATAGAATAATGAGGCAATCTAGTTCAGAACTTTTAATGGTTATTGGAAGTTGTGACTTGAGGAATGTTGAATTTTGATACCTTGCAGGTTTTCTTTTCTTGGAGTCAAGGTGCAGATGTGTGGAATGATCATGTCTTTATAAAAACTTATATGTATTCATCTTGCAGAACCCCAATGTCCGTCACCCAAAAGCTCTGTTCATGGGTCTGGTTAATGAAAAAGTGACCATGATTGGAGCATCTATGATCCGCTGCACTGTGGTCACAGAATCTGGGAAGGTGGCTACATGGGTTGATGACACCATTGCTTCTGTTGCCAGTCACCGGTTGGAGCATCCGGCTCAGATGTACCCTGAGTTTGTGAATGATCGTATAATCTCCCTCCATGTTTGCCATCTCTACTCATGTGTTCGAATTGAAAGTGGCAACCTCTACTGGTGGTGCGTCTCTTTGGAAAATCTCTCTCAAGTGATTCCTTTCTTGCGAAGTCAAGGTTATTGGTGAATGTTTCATTTGCATTTTTTTAGGGGCCTTCTACCATACAGTCATCGGCTGAAAATGGTGAACAAGTACCGGGTAAAGGTGAGGAAGATGCGATCTGACCATGGGAGTGGGGAGATTGTTGCCAATGCCCAAGTGTGCCTCCAGGTCTCCCCTATCTACCATGCTGGTGCTATTGGTTAGTCAGATCTATTATTCTCTGAAAGCATAGATGGCATTTACCATGATCAACTAAATTAATTTTTAGATGGCAGAAATGCTCCATATAAGAGTCATTAAGATCTAAAAACAGGAATGCCTTCTGTCCCCTCAATTTATTATTTACTTGATGTAGAGCTTGGGTTATTTTTCTATGGATGTTCTGATGCCAACTCACCTCATTTCAGGATTCACAATCTCATCTGGGAAACCCAAAGTGGGCCAGCTTCTCAATTCAGCATGGAGTTTCAGTGACACATGTTCCTTTGAGGTGTTGAGCCCTGAGGAGGCAGCACAGAGGATGAGGGCAGCCAGAGATGACTCTGAATTGTCTGCAGCAGATGAAGATGTAACTGGACAATCACCCATATACAAAAGTGAGTCTGAGAAAAGAGTCATTCTGCCAGGCTGATGGGATTTCCTTTCCATGACACATCTGCAATCCTTCATCCAGAACGTAAACATGAAAAGGAGGAGGGGGAGGCCAGCAAGACCCAGGAGGAGTGGTACATCAAGGATGTTATGTTCTTGGAAGACGTGAAGAATGTTCCAGTGGGAACAGTTCTGAAGGTGGATGGAGCCTATGCTGCTGTCAAGTTTCCTTCCAAGGAGCGGAACAAAAGCGAGGATGCCTCAAATCAATCCCATCCTGAGAACATCCTCCAAGAATGTCGTCTGCTACGAAAGGATGAACTTCAAGTATGATCTTATATTTCTACACGAGTGTAGACTTGCAAAACTTAAACTACCTTATTCTTATTTAAATTAAATTTTCCAAGTCTTATAGCAGTCTTTATTCTCTTGTGCCCATTTTAATATTTATACTTGATCCATTTGCAAAAAAGAGGGCTGGGCACCCTTGCAAAATGAAATTTGGCTGATAAATGGGGTGTATAAGATGAGAGAGACTAATCAAACTCTAAGTAAGAACTTTGTTTCTCTGGTAAGCACTTGCTTTGGGTAGTTAGATCATGCTACAGGCTGTCTCCTTTACGCATTGGTTGCTTATGTAATCCAAGTTGGCTGGTTTGATGATGTTAATTTTTCTGAGTGTGCTGGAGTCAATCCTCTCATGACATCTGCTTTTTGAAGTAATGCCACATTCTTGACAACTCCATCCTAGTCTCTTGCCGACATCCCACATTAGGAACCTGTTCATCATTACACATATTTATATTGCTTGCTGAAGGTGGTGAAGGCAGGTGGGAGCCTGAAGGGTATTGACTGTTGTCAGCGAGCCCCCCGTCGTATCAACATCCCTGACCCTGCCAGTGTGCTCACCATGGACATTGATCGCCTTGGTATGCCAGACCACTATATTTTGGCTCTTTGGTTTGAAAGGGTTCTATTCACATCCAACTCTTTGGCTAATGCAGAGGCTATCTTGGAAGCTTGTTATCTTTTTATTTCATGTGAGATATATTTGTTTATGTGGTAGTATATGGAGCATATACAGGCAATTGGCTGGTATGTCTTAGATTATCTCACCCTGGTCTTTTGACTTGTTTGGTTCACCCCTTGTTCATTTATGTTGATTGTGGGGTGTGACCCTGTTCTTATAGGAATTCACGCAGTGGTGCGAAATGGAATGACACTCAGCTACAACGTGTTCAACTTGAGCAGTGGGAAGGCAGAGAAGGAGAGTCGATTTCCCCCAGAAGTCACCACCTTCCTCCTCAACCATCGACAGCGTCTCCAGCTTCGCTGCTTCCAGGACAATGCAGACGAGGTTGGTACTGCACCGGTATGGAATTGAATTTCACCTCACTAGACCTATTTCTGCTTTTTAGAAAATGACTAGTGCTAACTAATACTGTGTAGGAGTAGGGAAATCTTTGCATTCTTCTGTAATGGATGGGTTGGTGAATCACTGAGTCTATATTATTGGTGTTTAGGGATTCAACAAGGGAAGTTTATGAAAGTGTGAAGGTGAACTTTGAATTAAGAACCAATGTTTTTTTGTGCTCCTTTTGGCTTAGACATCTTTTTCATTATTCATATGACTAGGTTACAGAAGCACAAATTTTGGTGGCATTTGTTGTTGATCATCATGCCATCTTCAACTTCGTGCATTTATAGCATGTGAATGATCTTTTTGACATGACGGAGTATTTGTGATTCCTATTGAAAGCTATATTTGGAACAATTTGCTTGGAGATAAGGGTGTCTCTCCTGTTCTTCTCTGCATTGTACTTATCAATTAAGGAAATTGAGCAGTAAATATTTAATACCTGAAGAGGACTTGAAAGTGAATGTCATTACTATATTTCTTGCAGATGGAAAGCCTGGCTCTCCTCATGGATGGAAACCAGGCCCTTTTCCCACTGGCAAGGGACTGCCTAGCATCCATTCGAGATCCATGGTGGCTGGATCTGCCCCCAATTCAGTGCATGGGGATGGGAATTGCTTCTCTTCCAGAGTCTGCAGCCCCACCTGCAACTCAGGGTCAGAAGAACATGGTTGGAGTCATGGCCCTTGTGTTTCAAACCCAGAAGCTACTCCCTCTTGTCCTCCGAGGTGATTATGATGGGGTTCTGAATGTCCTGCGAAGCATGGAAGACTGTGAGTTGTTTTCAATTCTCTCCATTTGTCAGTAGTTGTCTACACCTTAAAAGTTTATGAAGTTCATTTGTTATTATATGAATGAGAACCCTGAGCAATTGGTTTTCTGGGCAGTTTTTATTCTAGTTTTTCTTTAGGAAGTTATATTTTTAAATTGTAGGTGGCAGTGGATGGAATGAAGAATCGATAACAGAGGCGCTCTCTGAACAGTGTGATGGGAATCGTAACATTCTCCATATATGTGTGGCCATCTGTGCTCCTACCTCCAACAGGGACTGCGATGTGTCTACTGGTTTGTTCCATGTCCCTGCATTATACATTTATGACTTGCAAGAAAGATAGCTTTCAGAATCTGGAAGCATTATTCTCTACCATTGGCACACACACAGGGAAATGTCAAAAGCTTATTGTTCTAGCAGTGATGTCTTGAGTATTGCATGATATGCCTCAGAGGTGATGCAAATCTGAAGGTAGGAATTTTATCCCTTGGCCCTTATTTGCCATCCATAAAATTTTATCCCTTGGTTCTCCCCCATTTTATTTCCTATATTTTTCAATTATCTGATGCATCATAACTTCTTGAAATGTCATGTTTGCCTCCTCAATCTGTGAATGCAGTACAATCTCTTAAATACCTTTGATGGTGATATTGATGCCCTGGAGCTTAGTTGAGTAAAGTACCAGGAGGGTTAGTGATATTGTCTTAGATGGTAGCTGCTCATGTGCAGACTCAACCAGCTGCACATGTGTGTGAGGAAAAAATGACAGTGTATCATAGGAAAGTAGGGATGGATTATATGCTTGAGTAATTTCTCAATTCTGCATACAGTCATCAAAATGGCCCTTTTGACAAATACTGCATTTTGGATTAGTTTTTTTACTTGTCCGAAATCTTTTTGTTCCTTGAGTATTTCATGCATCTTCTTTTTTTCTTTTAGTTCAATGGTCTTTCTTTCAACCTCTCTGAGTAACAATATCCAGTTCTGTGTTGGACTCAAGTAATAATTGGCACTTGAATTTAGAATGGATTGCAGGAAATCACATAATGTATGGATGTATGTATGTATGCATGTATTGCATGTATGTATGCATATGTGTATGTGTATGTATGCATGTATTAAATGTGATTCCTGTTATTCAGATGATCTCCTGGGAACTCACGAAGACCCAATTCCCACCTTAACCTGGCCACCAACAGATGACAGTGTTGTGAGTGGCCGTTCTCAGCGCTCTGGCCCTTCAGCCGATAAGTTGGAATTTGTCAATGACAAGAAGTACTCATGTCTGAACATCATGAAGCTCATTCTGGAGCATCCTTGCTTGGAGCGCCATCTGTATCGCCTCCTGACAGAGAAGTGAGTTTTTGCCAGCAATGCAACTAAATTGGTATTGGAAAACATCAGATTTTGCTATTTCCAGAAATCATAATGGTCTGCAATGTGGGACAATGCCCTATTTAAAAAATGTGAACTACTGTTGGTATGGAGAATGCAGAAGTTATTGAAAATAATTTGATACCTTTGCCTGTTATCTTTCTGATTTTTATAATGGTTTACCTTTGTGCTTATCTGAATTCAAGGTTTGAAGCATGATTAACTGCTTGGAATTGCCTATCCAGCCTCACAATAAGTTCTCTTCAAGGTGAACTTAATTGATAGTCATTAGGGATAATTTTCCTTGGAGATATTTATTTAGACCAAGGAACTAATGTTTATTGTCTTGAGCATTTAAGCTTTGTGGCATTTGAGCTCAAATATGATGAATGTATCATCTTTTCTGTTTCTTACTTCCTTATTCAATTGGCATGCATGGACCTCAATATGCAATTGTCTGTTCCTCCAGGGATGCTGAGGGTGCAACTCCCTTCATGCTGAGTGTCAAGATGCGCTCATACTATGCTGGCCTCCTCCTGTTTGACATGGGCCTCCGTCTTGCATCTCGGATCTCTGGTGAGCACAGGAAGACCCTGATGAACGTTGTCTACCCTGAGGGCAGTCGTCCTGATGACTCTCCACTTCATGTTATCTGCTGCAATGATACCTGCAGCTTCACGTGGACTGGAGCTGAGCACATCAACCAGGTCAGTCGTCTGCTTGAAAAGATGAAAGTGACGAAGCAGGATTTAAAATTTTCTCATTGATAACTGATCTGGTTGTTAATTTGTAATCATAAGAATGCTGCAAGGATAACATTTTTGGCTTAGCATGTGAATGCACTGAAGTGCAGTGCCTTTTTAAAAATATTCTTCTTGTCGAACAGTTCTTCTATTCTGACGTGTGTTTGATTATTTATTTTCTGTTAATCAGGTTCTATTTTTGAAGTATGAAAGTGACTATGAAAATGTGTATCAGTTATAAGTTCAGAATCTAAGTAGTAAAATCATAAGATAAAAACCATTTTGCATGAAATCCTTTGGGATTTAATTAAGATATTTTGCCATGGTTGATGGTGTTATTTTAATTTTTATTGTTACTATGAGTGAAATATCTCAAGCGCTGCTCAAAAACGTTCCTCTTGACACCTGTAAGATGTGTTGCAGGATATTGATATGGTATTTTTTGCTGCTATGAAGTATGGAAACATATGAGGCCACTGCAGCGGCAGATGAAAGTTTGTTTCATAGATTATTGAAGTTTATGTACCCTGGTGTGAATTTAGGTGAAGATGAAAACTATTACGTATCATATTTATATTAACATCCTATTTTCCTGAGTTCATTTTATACACCAGCTTATTTTTATGGTTATCCTGTATATTTTTTATGTCCATTGAGTAACAATGTTCAGTGAACATAAAATTACTCATTTTACTCTCATTTTAATTGCAGCCTGATTCATTGATGAGAGGAAGTGAAAGAGGTAAAATTTGCTGTGCCATGTTTCTGTTTTCAAATTTTGAATTGATGACACTTCCACAGGATATCTATGAATGTCGCACATGTGGACTGATGGGGTCGCTGTGCTGCTGCACAGAGTGTGCACGTGTCTGCCACAAGACTCATGACTGCAAGTTGAAGCAGACATCACCAACGGCATACTGTGACTGTTGGGAGAAGTGCCGCTGCCAGTCTCTGGTGGCAGGATCCCAAGCAGCCCGATATGAGCTCCTCATGCGGCTCATTTCTCACACAGAACTGGTGGCTCTGCCAAACTCAAAGTGAGTGGTTCTGAGTTTTTATTCTGCTGCATCATAAGCTGTTTCCCATGGTGTAATATATAATATTATTTAAAATATATTCTGTTTTGCTTTTGTGATGGTTTTCATAACTTCTGCATTGACTGGTTGATACCTTTTATTCCTGTATAACCAATAAGTAACCCAAGGAAGTTGTGGCACCTCTATTGCATACAATTTTATTATTGTGGGTGCTTGTGATATCAACATTTCTGTTGTAGATGCAATCATTTTCCTTATTGGGCATCATATATTAATGGAATCAAAACTCAAATTACGCTTTTGTGCATCTATTTAAAAACAGTAATAATCAGAATTGCTTGGAATGCATTTTGCTAGTTAAAGCTGCCACTATATTTGTCTTTAAGTGATTGATTCCAATTCCTGCTTTTTCTATACAGAGGAGAGCACATCCTTTTGTTCCTGGTCCAGACAGTGGCTCGTCAGCTGCTGGAGCAGCGACAATATCGCTCCATCCGTCCACGTGTCTCTTCATCGTCTGCCTCGGCCCGCCCACATCCTGACCTCCCTGACATGCCTGAGCATGACTTGGAGCCACCCCGATTCTGCAGACGTGCCCTTGATCGACTTCTGGGGGACTGGCTGGCTGTGAAGTCCATAGTGATGTCAGGGTCAAAGGATGCATCATGCATCCCAGGCCAGGGGCTCTCTGAGGATGCTACCTACCTCCAAATGCAGAGTGGAACTGCTCTTCTTGACAAATTCGTTCATTGTCTTCTCTCCAAGTGCAGCATGGAGGTCAGAAAGGCTTTATTGTTTGTGATAAGATTTTCATGCAAGGTTTATTTAAATTCATGCCAGGTGTTTGACTTGTGGCTCTCATTGTATTTTTCTCTGCAGATGCTGATGACGCTGCTCGGAACATTGAACACAGGGATGCAAAATGTCACAATTCCTGGCCGAAGTTTGCAGGCAGAGAAAGCTGCACGTCGATTTGTCCGCTCTGTTGCCAGGATTTATGTCATTCTCAATGTTGAGCTCTCTCCTGCTACTTCCCGCAAGAAAAGGCATGACATCTTGCAAAAGTGCTTGCTTGGTTAATCCTTGAGGTGGAATTATTAAAACTTGTTCATGTCTTAAATCATTATTTTTTTTGCATCCCACAGTCCATCCAGCATCACACAACCTATTACCAAGTGTCGCCGAGTGTTTGAGATCCTCATTAAGATGGCCATCCCTGAATTATGTGAGATGGCTGATGCCTTGATTGCCCCAGTACGCTTGGGTGTTGCCAAGCCAACTGCTCCCTTCAGCCTTTCTTCCACACAGGCAGATGCTCTTCATGTAAGTCCATTCAACATGTGCTTTTTCCGTCTTCTTTGCCAGTAGATGGGACAAAGATGGGAAATCTGGTGTTACCTTAGCTTTGGTCAAGAAACCACAATGGCTTTGCTTACAACAAAGAAATACTGTCACCATAAAGAAGTCGTTTTTACTACAAACATTTTGGACAAGTTGCCCAATTGTAGCAAGCAGCCCAATCCTGATTGTAGGAAAGCAAAAATTATTACTGTTCCCCATAAAATGACAATGTCTTGGATAATGAAAAAATTCATACCTGATGGATGGTGAATCCATGCTGATCTTTTGTGCTTAGTCAGAATTATCTCTTGAAAAAAATATCCTTGTATACTTGCTATACTTTCTGCTGTCTAGTTTACTTGTGAAAACAAAAGCTTATTACAGTATTTCCCTCTGTGTCATATGTTAAAAATATGGATCTTTCATGAGTGTCAGTCATTTCTTGTACTGCAGTAGTAGAAACAGAAAATGCTGGGTTGCCTTATGGTATACATTTCATAAAGCCCCTGCTTGTTACACTCTTCTGAGCTAAAGCAATCTGGAATGGTTCCAGTCTCAAAGATTATGAAGCATACAGTGTGCCAACTCAGGAGACCTTTCTTTTTGCTGTTGATGGTCTGAGGTCACACAAACCCTGTGTCACATTGAGTGATGACACCAAAGCTCTTCTGAAGAGAAACGACGGCTGTAAATGCCACTATTAATGAAGTGGTGAATAGATCATCTTCTATTGAAACATTGCAGGGAATCGAGGAACTTTTCTCAGTTGAGCCAATGCGGCCTGTGAGTCCTCGAGAGGCCATGGAAGGCATACAGGAGGATCCATCAGAGGAGGCAGAAGCTGATGTAAGAACTGAGTCAGAAGCCATTCCTGTGGGCCTCTCTGGTGGAGGAATGGACCAACCTCAAACCTCCTCAGTCTCTGATGCTCACTTGGAGCGGGATGCTCGATCCTCTGCCAGCCGTGAACGGGATGCAGAACGGGGACCACCACCGCCTTTGCCTCACCAGGGAGATGAGACTGAGAATGAGGGTGAGGAATTTGGTAGAATTTCTCCTTTGCTTCTGAATTTTCTTTCCATGAAGGTGCATTAGGGTCACACATAAGTTTCTTTAATTGAAAGTAATACTTTTTTTTATAGGTGAGAGTGAACAGGAACAGGAGCATGAAGGTAGAAGTGCAAATGAGATGTGGCGGGAACATGATGGAGATGAAGCAGGAGACAATGAGGAACTATGTGACATGGAACTGGATCTTCTGGCAGAGACTGACTCAGACACTGATGACAACCACAGCCAACAGGATGCAGCAAGTGTCCAGCGGAGTGTTCAGACAGGTGCAACTGCTGGATCTGATGCTGGTTGGTTTGTTTTTTTCCTCTTTTAGTGACCGTAACAAATGAAAATTTTTAGCATGCTCAAGTTATTTTTTGGATCTCAATTCTTTCTTGGGTTGGTGTAGGTGGAGCATCCCTGGCTTTGTTCTCAGAGGATGACTCTGCTGACTCTAGTGTGATTGAGGACTCAGAAGATAACACATCAGAGGCTGACACATATGCACTGAGCCCTTCGCTGGAAGAGGATCAATTGGAGAGGAGGGGAGGAGTGTCAGGAGGATTGTCTCGTGTCCCAAACCCACCACACATGCTGCAATGGGCTGTGCGAGGAGGATCCACAACAACTACCAATCGCGAGGATCAGACCCCTCCCTCACGTTCTCTCAACAATGCTGCTCCTGGCAGTGCCCCTGGTATCTTCCTCATTTTTATTACAATGCATCTCATGCCTGCTATGTTGGTAATCAATTTGCTTCCATCAGCCCAATTGCTTGCAGGTGGGAGCAACCTGATCTATGTGGACCAAGGCTCTCTGCGTCGTTCAGCAACATGTCCCCTGTCCCAGGTGGGACCGGAGCCTGTGACAATGACAACAACAGCCTCTTGTCTAGCCCGGGCCTTTGGCATCGTCATCCGTACAATCTCTGACCTGTTGATTCTCCTGCCTGATTATCCTGCAGAGGTGTCATCACTTGTGCCCAATATGACACCTGTCCCTCTCAGCGAGATCATCCACCTTCAGGTATGATCCTGAGATTCCTTGAAAATCATTGTCCAATGTGATTATGTTCCATGCCTTAGAGCATAGCTTTAGCATTCATGATCATATTTGTTCCTATCTCTCAGACTTCATCCATGTGAAAGTTAGATGTAATTTTCATTATTAATATTTGTTAGAAAATTCCAGAATTAAAAGGTGTAGAAGACTGGAAATTTCTTTCATGAGGATAGGACAGATAGGTCTGGTGTTTATGAAACAAATACCTTTCAGAACCCTCCCATGCATTCACCATTCATATTGGGAAAACAGGGAGGTATCTCAGTTTGTTACTCCCTGTTGTAGCTCTACTTGGAGCATCACTTGAAACCAACGTGGGACTGGCTGCTGACAGTGATGGACTCAACAGAAGCACAACTGCGTTTTGGTGCTGCTCTGTCTGCTGCCACTGACACTGGTGGTTCCAAGCGAAGTCACTCACACTCCACCACCGCCTCCTCCTCCCGTACTGCTCGTGACCATCGGGATCTCATTTCTGGTTCTGGTCAGAGGAGGTTCCGGCCAGGCCGACTCCTGCCTTCAAGTTAGTCCTAAATTCATTTCATTTAATAGTATTCCAGTTTCCATGCAGGGGTACAGAGTATATTCAATTCAGGTATAATGGTTTATCTTTGTCCTAGTTTAAAAATGAATTCTCTGAGGCAACTGTAATGCATAGGAGGACATGGTAGTCTATATATACATTGCATCTCAAGCAGATTGCTTGAATGATCCTCTGGCTTGAATCCTTGAATTATATCAATGAGGTTATTTTAATTGTTTGTTTATCTTAGGTTCCAGCGATTCTCACTCAGCAAGACGAGACTTCCTTTCTTACTGCTTGTCTATCATGCGGGCCCACAATGCAGAGCACTCTGACTCCCTCCCTGTGCTGGACATCGCATCTTTGAAGCACATTGCCTACATCTTTGATGCCCTCATCTACTACATGCGAAGTGGGTCTGAGAACAATTCTCTTCGCAGTGGACGTCCTGGATCCCTTCTGCCCCCTCGACCCATTCAAGACAGTTGGCATGATCAGGTCTGGTTTGGTGTCTCCCTGTCATATTTTCACTTAGTTTTTAAGCCAAATAGCAATGAGGTTTTTGAGCTTGTATTATCAAACTTTAGATATTGAGCCAGGTTAGGCTTCCTGTGTGATTCAACTTTCTATAGTATTAAAAACTTGTGTGCTAGTGTCACCTATTGACTGCTCCAACTTGTTTGTTAGTTGAAAAAATGTATGCAGTTATTTGTCAATCACATAAGCCACTCTTATAGTACCAGTATATATTACAAGAGACAATATCTTCCCAAGATATCCACTTTGCCTGTAATCTTGAAGCAGAACAACATCCCCATCCTCATGAACACCATTATTGTTGTGCCTGTAATTAGCTCCACTGATGCAACCATCATGTATTATGTCATACAAAGAGATGAACATGGAGTTTGAACTGTGTAAGCAATTAATGTTTCTAACTGGGTATTGTTGCAGAAGCGAATGATGAAACCTCTTCAAGAACAGATTAGTGTTGAAGGTGAAATGAAGTTATCTATCTGTGTTACCTACCTTAGTTATCTACCACTGCTTGTGAGGAAATGCCTCACGGGTATTGAGGGCACTGTTTCCTTTTTATTCAACCAAAGCTTTGATTTAGTAAAAATGAACTTAAGGGGCATTAAAGGAGCTGCTTTACTCCTTCACTTAATTGTAAAATGATACTACAGTGTTAGGGTGTTAGGCCTGAGTCAGTCAGTCTGGCTGATTAGTTTTCACATCTGATTGCAAAGTAACTAGTTCAATTTTCAGTTATGTCTGTTTTAGGAGATCATGTCAATAGCCCTATATTGACATGACAGCATGACCACTGAAAGAAAATGGAAGGGATGCTTATTGTGCTTTCTTCCCTATGATTTCCTGCAGGATGAAAATGACAATGACACCCTGGGAGATGATGACCTCACTTCCTCAATTGTGGATTCTGATGCCTCCTTGGGGACCCATGAGAAGAGAACAGAGGAGATGGATGATCCCAACCTTGGCAGTGGAAGGCGCCACAGCTTCTTTCACCGATCTGATTCCACTCTCTTCCTCGGCTGTCCATCTCCAGACCCATTTGCTACCCCCATGGCCCAGGCAATTCCACTAGCAGAACAGCCCCATCTCCTCACTCCCAATGCAAGGAGGGAGGAGCTCTTCAGTGTTGCTTCAAGGACTGTCCTTCCACCTGCTACAGGTCCAGCCTATGTTGACTTTTCTATTCTCTCCATCCTCTAGAATCTGTCAATTGTTTTAATGAATGCTATGTACTGTACATGTCTGACTTATTTCCATTAATCAGAAGTTTTGGACAGTTCAGAGACTTTTTGATGACCATTTAGTTTTTTGCCTCACAGTTAAATTGATCAACTTGCCCTTGTGAATTCACTGTCATGTTGGGTGAAAGTAAGTAAACTCCCAAAAAACTGAGTTAATTGAGAATTGCCTCTGCATGGGCCTAATTAATGCCTTATTCATGATGTTTGCTTCCTGGTTGTCTGCTGGGTGGTTATGAAAAGAGGGTTTACTCTAGTTCATGAGAAGAGTTTGTTCAAAACGAGATTTTCTTGATTTCAGGAGGGGTGAATAGTCGAAGCATGCTGGAATCAACGTTGCCAACCAGACTGGGTCTGTCTGTGCGCACAGCAGATGAATCTGACCCAACTGCTCCTCCCATGCCAAGCACTTCCTATCCAGTGATGCCTAGAGAGGCTTTCCCCCCACCTACACCCCCACCCCCACTTGTGTCTGCATCCTCTGTCCCTCCCCACCCATCCACATCAAAGGGAAAGGATAAAACCAGTGGGAAAATGGTTTGTGATTATGATTCCACTGATGAGGATGAAGACAATGAGGATGGGGAGGACAGAAACGACAGTCGAAAGAGGGAAAGACATCGTAAGGAACCAGGGAGCCAGTCAAGCTGTAGCAGCAGTGAGGAATCTCGAGATTATCGCCCTGGAGCTCCATCTCCTCCACCCACTCCTCCCAGAGACCAGGATCGTCCTGCCAATGAGCAGCAGATAGGTATGGCATTGGACTTTAATTTTAAAAATCTACTTGTTGCATTTGAAAGCAGTTTCAATATCTTCCCCCTTCATATCCTAGAGTGTTTGAGATAAATATGTATTGTATGCATTACCAACTAGCATGCAGGTCCTTCAAGCATTGAAAAAGAAAACTAATGCCAAATATTCTGCATCCATGTGTAGATGAAAAATTAGGAACCAGCATTGTGGTACATGTTCTGACTTCATTCCAGGTGAGCCCCAGGAAAGTGAAGGAAGAGGAGAAGCAAGTTCAGGATCAGGCAGAGGAAGAAATGACTCTGAGCAACCCCTGCCTCCATCATATCCCCCAGGGTATTTGTTTGTATACCCACCTGCGTCTCCAAACTCGCCTCCCCTCCCACCCAATACCCAGTCCCCTCCTCCACTGCCACCACCACCACCCCCTCCACCTCCTCCGCCCTTCCTCTCGCTCCCCATAAACTTGTGCACTGCACCTCCAACTTCTTCCTCTGTCATTGTCTCCCCTCCCAAGAGCAAGAAGAGTGTGATCGTCCATGCAGGTCCCATGTCCTCTGGTCAGCGAGATGATGAGGCACATGGATCCTCTGATGCTTGCAAGGTGGGCTTTGCATATGATCAGGTGTTGGGGCTACAGACTTTTGAGATAGCTTTGCTTTTTTTCGTCGATTTTCTCGTCGATCAAGCTCAACTTTTAGAGGGTCAAAAACTCCAACTTCACATGTTAAATAATTTCATGAGTCAAAAGAAAAACTCCAGTATTTATTGGCCTGGAGGATAAGTTTCTTTAATTTTTTTAATGAGAGTATTCTACTGGAATCACAATAATGTGAATTAATCCTGGATCCCTGACAGAACGCTGGTGAATCTCCTAATGTGTTAGTCGTCCCCACCAGCAGCCATCATCCGGCTGGCAGTGAGGAAGTCGTCACTGTTGAGACATCATCCCATCCGCTATTCAACATGGACTCAGCTCCTCGCCCCCCTGTTCGGTGAGTGGGAGACTTTTTTTTGCATTCCAGTGTTTAACTGTGAGGGAAAGCATGCATTAGACCTTATATATTCTGAAGACCATCTAAGCCTTCAATTAGGAGTCAAAGGCTGAATGGTCTAACATCCCATCCTTGCCAGAATATTGTGATGCGCGAGTCGACAAACTTGATTGTGGGTATTTAACATTTTTTAAATCATCAAACCGATGATGGAACTTGAACATATTGCACCTAGCAGTTATATGACGTTAAGTTTTTTTCCTCGTGATTAGTGCATCAGTGATCGGACAGCTGGTGTCCCATGACGTGTTGCTGGGCCGCTGGCGACTGGCCTTGGAGCTCTTCGGACGCGTTTTTGTCGAAGACGTCGGTTCGGAGCCCGGGTCGGTGATCCCACGCCTGGCCGGATTCCACGTGCGGGAAGCGCGTTTCCGCCGCGACATGGAGAAGCTGCGCAACTCGCAGCAGCGGGACCTAACCCTAACCAAGGTGGACAGGGATCGCAACCATCTGATCGTCCAGGCCTTCAAGGAGTTCAATTCCATGTACGGGGCGACCCAGCGCCGCATGACCAGTTCCTCCCACCATCAGCCGCCCCTCGCTGTGAATCGAGTGAAGGTGACCTTCCGCGACGAGCAGGGCGAGGGGTCGGGTGTTGCTCGAAGCTTTTATACGGCCCTGGCTGAGGTGAGTCCTGTTTTTTTTTGTAGGTTCTGTCTCATATCCTTGGTTATCACCTCTTTTTCTGTGATGGGACTGTTCGGGAGCATTGAACCTTGTTGTCCATTTCTCAGGCTCTTCTTTCGTATGAACCGCTCCCGAACCTGGAGGGTTGTCAGATGGGAAGTCGCTCGATGAGTTCGATCCAGTTCAACCTGGTGCAGCGCGTCTCCCGACACATCGGTGGATCCAGCACCTACAAGGTACATTGCACGAGTCCAGTCCACGATTTTGCAATGCTTGAGACGATGGAGCAGATTTTATTAACATTGCTGTGCCCTTCCGTCCGTAGCGAATCCTGGGTGGACGTCGAGATTACCGCCGACAGCTGAACCACGAGTCGCGTCCATTTTACCCGTCGCACGATGGGCGACCGAATGAACACATCACTCGGTACCTGCAGGTCCTTGGGGATCGGCTCTACCCCAGAGTTCAGGCGCTTCGTCCGGTTAGTTAACTCTACTCTGGCTTTTAGTTCCCAGCGAAACTCAGAATCATAACAAACTTTCAAAGGAGCTTTTTGTGAATTAAAAATGGACCAAAAAAAGGAGTCAAAATTTGTTTGGCTATTGAAGGTGGTTTGGGGGTTACGGTCGACTCCCGGTGTAACGAACGCGGATATAATGAAAAACCGGTTATACCGACATCCTTGACGTTGCCCAGTCGATTGGTCCATAGACACCCATGCTGAAATATTTGAAATATAGCAAAATCGGATATAAATAAATATCCGATTTGTGTCCCGAAATAGAAGGTACACCGAATATAATACATTTTCCCTGTCCAGAGGGTAATACATTTTTTCTCCATCGTGACGAAGTACAAAGTGTCAGTCCTTACCTTTAGCCAGCCCTTCAGCCGCACGGCCTCTGAGAATGAAACAATTGGCGCTTGTGGAATGCGCGTGTGGGGATGGGCGATGCGAGTGGATGAAGCCCTTCGGTTCTCGCGCGTGGCAGCTTTTCATCGGGCTCCTTTGCTCCGTTCGTCCATTGCGAGAGTCATTTTACAAGGTGTATGTGTTGTACTCTGTGGAGGCTTTTACACGTTTGAGACGCTAACTGCCTTTGCATTTTCCGACGCTTTAACTACGAGGCCGCGCGATCCGCCAGAGATGTGACGGCTAACGTGTTGAAGTACTGTCGTCCGTGACACCCTCAGAAGTCGTCGGGCCCCCATAACACACCCCCGGGAAATTATGAAATCATGATCATGATTATGATTATGAAATCATGCGTACACGAACATAATATGGATTTAGTTCTCTTATTGGAGATGACCCTCTCCTGACATCACGAAATAATTCCGGTGGCTTCATCAACTTCGTTATAATGTGAGTCGACCGTATTTTAGGCTGTTCTGATGTTCTCCAACCCAACTGGGGGTAATTGACACATCGGTATGCAAATTTGTCAATGTTTTTCTAAGTTGTTGCCACTGAATCGTTTCCTCGTTGTTCAGGCCTTGGCCAGCAAGATCACGGGGATGCTCCTGGAGCTAAACCCACCCGAGCTGCTGATCCTCTCGTCGTCGGAGGATGAGCTGCGGCGCCGCGTGGACGAAGCGGTCGACATCCTTCTCTCGCACGCCAGGGATTCCTCCTCCACCAATGCCGACAACTCCAACGACATCATGGGTGAGTTGCGCTCCGTCGTCCGGTCGGATGTCCCGTGTGGATTGTGGATGGCAGAGTGCGATCCTCGCAGACGATGTGTTCAACCTCGGGCGGAGCGGGGGAAGCGGCGTGGGGACCCACTCGGACACGGAGGACACGATGGACGTGGACGGTTCGGACGATTCCTGCCCGCTGTTCTACCAGCCGGGAAAGCGGGGATTCTACTCGCCGCGGCAGGGGAAGGCGACTCCCGAGCGAATCAACGCCTTTCGCAATGTGGGCAGGTATGAATCGCACAGATCCTTGGGAATTCCTTGGGATCCTTGAGTGAATTCTCGGTTCCCAATTGGAATGCTGCACGTTGTAGTGCTCGAACATTTTCCAGCTCTCTCTATCATTCTGATAATGAAGGCAATTCTTTGTAATTTTTAATACCTCACGTCTTCCTCGAATTTTCTCCTGGAAAATAAAAGAAAGTACTGTACTGATGAATGCACTCAAATTTCCGTCAGTGGCAGAGACAGGTACGACGTCATGTCTAAGTATTTCTTATTATTCCCTACAATTCTCCGCTATCTCATGGTCCCTTCGCTGACATGCTTTCGGGAGTAATAATTTATTGGCTGGTGTTGGTCATTCAGTGAAAGAGCACATTTTTTGTTTGATGGTGTGGGGGTGGTGTTCACGTCACCCCATAACCTAAACTGATGTGATGGAGCTGGATTGTTTTCATGTTGATCAGGTTGATGGGGCTGTGCCTGCTGCAGAACGAGCTCTGCCCAATCCCCCTGAACCGTCATGTCCTAAAGTATATCTTGGACCGGGTCATCCGGTGGCACGACCTGGCCTTCTTCGACCCGGTCATGTACGAATCTCTGCGCCAGCTGGTCCTCGATGCCGAGAATGCCTCCGAGAACGCAAACTCTCTCTTTGCTGCACTGGACCTAAACTTCAGGTAGGAGGCTTGTCGTCTCGCGTTTTGTTGGTCTGATGACCAGGTTCTGACGGGGCACGTTGCACCTTGCGTAGCATCGATCTGTGTGCGGAAGAGGGTGGGGACACGGTCGAGCTCCTTCCGGGCGGCAAGGACATCGAAGTGAACGCTCACAACGTCTACGACTACGTCCGTCGCTACGCCTGGTATCGCATGGTCACTGCTCAGGAGAAGGTGCTCGAGGTATGTCATTCCTTCGTCGCTGTTTCGATTGAGGGCGGTGCTCCGGTGGCGTTCGTGGAGCCTGAGTTATGTGGAGGTGATGAAGTGCAGGGAACTCTCGTTAAACCGGGTTTTGAAGGAAGTGGCGATTTTTGTCGGAATTAGCGAAAACCTGAGCGAGTGATCACTCATTTGGCGTCTTTCTACGCTGCTGGTGTACTGTAGAATGCCTTCATTGGTTCTTCTCTCTCTCCTCCATATGTGAAACACTGACTCAATTCTTTAAGCTAGTCACGCAGAAGAAATCCCAAGAAATTGAGGAAGAGTAAATTAAAGCGTAGAGTGAGAGAAAGCCACAAAGACGAAATTTCATCCGATTGTTATGAAAGAAAGGGGGGGGGGGAAAGGGACCGGAAGACTTCATTTTTGCATCCCATTTCATCCTCTCCTATAGAAAGTACGGATTAACGGGTACAATGGCCCAGGGGCTTAAAGAACTCGTCCGTGTAAACGGGGGCTACGAAGTAACGGCATTGGGTTTGAACGTGGAATTTTAATTTGGGTTTAACGACATTTTGGCTGGGATCATCCCCCTTGTCCGAATTAACTGGAGCGCCGGATTACTGACATCCGGATGAGCGAGAGTTGACTTTATCTTAGGCATTTGCGATTATACAATTTGAATCGCGGGCGATTCAAATTGTATAATCTTTTTCTTCCACTGAATACCCGTTTGATTTTTAAATGCCGAGATCTTAAAATGATTGCCCTCTTGAGCAGAAAACGGCAGCTTCCATTTTTTAAATTACGAAATGTGTGAAAAGTCGCAATTTTGTAAAATTACTAATTATGGAGTGCATTTAACGTAGAAATTTAGGAGAAACATAATTGCCAATTGTTTGACGCGGCACGGTTCCCGCAGGCGATGCGGAACGGGGTGTACGACGTGCTACCGTCGACCGCGCTGGAGGGCCTCACGCCGGAGGACCTGCGGCTCCTCCTCAACGGAGTCGGGGAGGTGCAGGTGTCGCAGCTGGTGTCCTACACGTCCTTCAACGACGAGAGCCGGGAGGGCGGGGAAAAGCTGACCCGCTTCAAGCGTTGGTTCTGGACCATCGTGGAGAAGATGACGCCGCCCGAGAAACAGGATCTGGTGAGCCAGGAAGAGATTTTCTGTTTTCTTTTTTTTTTTTGAAGTGATCCTGCAGGAATAGATCTTAAGCGAATGTGTGCAGATGACGTAGTCGAGGAAGTCTGTGATGCTGCTGTTTCTATCAGCATGGATTATTATCAAGGATTGGGTAATAGTGTAATATTGGGTGTCGTTAGAATTCAACACATCTGTGTTTGTCTTTATTCATGTTTTGCTTCTATGAGTTAGTGGGAAATTACTCAGAACAGTAATATACCGATATATGTAATGATTTAAAAAATTAAGTATTTTATGTCTCCACTCTTACACTGTGATCTTTCAGTCTCCAATCAATTGTCGTAATCCCTTTACAATCCAAGGAAAATTTAACAAAATAATCATTGAAGGTTTTGGGAACGTGACTGTCTCTCTGGTTGTCAGACATTCTGGTCAGGAATGGTACTTTTTTTGCATTGGGGTATATAGATGTTCAGAGTTGTCAACTCTAAATTTGAGTGAGTGGAGTTACTGATTCTTAAACGGGATCCCCGCGGAACGACAGGTATACTTTTGGACGGGGAGCCCGGCGCTACCGGCGAGCGAGGAGGGCTTCACGCCGATGCCGTCCATCACGATTCGCCCAGCGGACGACACGCACCTGCCGACAGCGAACACGTGCATCTCCCGGCTCTACATCCCGCTCTACTCGGGGCGTGCCATCCTGAGGAGCAAGCTGTTGCTCGCCATCAAGGCGAAGAACTTTGGATTCGTGTGAGTGGGTGTGTGAATGTGGATGTTGAGAGACTGAAGTTCTTGTGTTCTTGCCCGCTTCGTTGTGGAATAAATATTGGGGTATTCCAAATTGAACTTTTTTGTGTATTTTCATTGTCACTTTGGGTTTTGAGCGCGGGATGGATGGGTTTATTCGAGATCGATGTGGAGAAATGAGGTGTTGATGGAGTCGTCTTGCTCTGAAGGTCTGCCTTTTCGAGGATGTATGGCTTCGTCTGGAGCGTGGTGTGTGTTCAGCATGGGGGAACTCGGTGAGGTAATAGCGGGAATTCGATGTCGACATGACTTATCGTTGTAGGCATGGATAGATAATAGTGATTTTATGCAGAACTTGAAACTCAGGACAGAATCGACTTCCGCAGAAGTATGATCCGAATGAGTCGCTTTCAAGGGCTCTTTTTTTTCACCTTCCTATGAGAAAGTTTTTGCTCCTACGGAAATGTCTCATTTTCCGTCCCTCCCCCCTAGGACACGGGAATTCGAAAAAATTTAGATGGGGCTCTCCATTCTCATGGAGCGCTACGTAACGATCCGTGTACACTGACACCTCGCATTCCGTGATCGACGCTTTCGTCGCGGCCTAAAAGGTAGCAAAATCTGTTGCGAACTGCGAACCATACGTCGCAAGACCGCTTCATTGTTGCATTATTTCGTGCTACTAGCTTGCAGGCAAGTTCGGTTCCCGCACATCCTGATGGATCCAAAGCTTGAAGAATGATTAATCGGTCCGATGTTTCTGCTTGATGCATGCTAAATATTGCAATGACTGATTGGGAACGACAAGAATCAATCTGAAGCGTGCATGAAATTAATGACCTGTGCAGGCAAATGAAGACGCGATTTTCAGAAATTAACTCCTCCCTGTTATTATTTTTAACTTCGGATTTTCATTCTTTCAAATGATATGAACATAAAGTCAATCTTAATTCTCGTTTTTGTGTGTCGACCAGTTGGGAAGAAATGTTTTTTTGATCCCATCAATTAAAGGTGATGGATACCTTGCATTTTCAAGATTTGCATTTTGGCTTTTGTTTCGGTGTCATGATGGCCCGCTTCAAAATGAGACAAGCAAAATCATAAAATAAATATCTACAGCAAGAAAGTACATTGGTAGTCATTTCATCTGCATCAGGTTCCACGCATTATTATATCAGTGCGAAATATAAATGGGAGAAATCGGAAGGAAAACAGTTCACTATTAAAGCAACGGAGGAATTGAAAAGCCGTGGACCTCGCGAGCAGCTGCGATTCACTCGGTCGTCCATTCCATGAGGCAAGCCCTGTGGAACGTCTCCACATCCAGCCGGGCCACCAACCTCCATTCCGCGCCGTCATGCATCTCGACGGAAGGCGTCTTCTCCCCGCCCACGGCGTACAGATTCCTCTCGAACGAGTCGAGACCGTGTCTATCCAGACACCGACACTCCCCCAGCCTGACTCACAGCCGAGCCAGTTAGAATACACTGATAAAATAAAAGCAGTGGACGCGTAGAAGAGCCGATCCTCCACGTGGATGATTTATGGTAGGCTCATTAGACGAGTCTCTATCAGTAAGCTAACACTTTTTATCATCGGTCGCGTACTGTTGCATGGTCTTCGGAGTGAAGCTCCGAGTTTTGCTGGAAAATTTGTGTTGATGCGGATTTGAAATTCAAGGAGGATTTTTAAAAATATATTTTAAAATTGTTTTTATTAATCTTTATCCCAGGTTCATTGCCTGGTATTCCTACCACAACTGAATACATTTTTCTTATCGTGGAATGTTCCGTATATTTGCAATATGGAGCCTAGTCATTGCTGATAGTAAAATTAATTAATTATGCGGCAGGAAGGGAAGAAGCTTGTTTCAAACGCGGAACATCTCATGAGGTTCGTCTTACCACGTGCCAAATGTCCATGCTGATGAAAATAAATAAAAAGCTGTTTGTGGACCGTCATCAGCTATCGCTGATGAGTTTCCTTTGGGTTGAGAATTAACTCTGTTTTCATTTTTTCTTGCTGGAATCTTCGGGTTCGACGAATCACCGTTCCACATTTAACTACGGTCGATTGAAGGCCGGAGGAAGGGTGGCAAGGCCAGATTCGTCTGGTTGGCTCACGGAAACAGGCCACTGAATGTCACAAGGACCGAGAGGAGACACTTATGCGCTCAAGGTCCTCATTACATTGCAGGTTTGAGATTTGGTTTTGGAAAGCCTTGCGTACTCCCTGCACTTGTAGAGAATAGGTAATGGGTTCTCACCCATTATATTTAGCATGAATGCGAGGATTACGAGCGCTTTTTTCGCGGACAAAATGGTTGCGGACAGTTCGTTGTGGACGTGAAGTCGCAAGCGTCTTTGGTCAAAGTACAGTTTCGTCGCAGACGCAGATAGTCGCACTTCCCTTGTCACGAGGGCATTTCAGGGCGGGATGATATGATAACGACTGAAACCAAGCAAAGCGTTAGGGAATTTCCTAGACGAGTTTTCTAATACGCACCTGTCAATTGCAGCTCATGAATATAGGGGAGTGGCACCAGTTCGCGAACAGGGAGCCAGTTAGCGAACGAGGGTCATGAAATGCGATTTGGCCTTTTGTTACTCTAGTTTCACTCTCCATCCCAAGCATTAATTAATCAATCAATCCATTTTCTGCAGATACCAAAAGCTGGAGCGCGTAACTCGAGAAACAAAAGGCCAAATCGCATTTCATGACCCTCGTTCGCTAACTAGCTCCCTGTTCGCGAACTGGTGCCGCTCCCCTATGGCCGAAATTAGCATCGTAAGCCGCAATCTGCACACACGACGATCTTCACGGCATACCTACGCCACCCGAGAAAGTCCATGTGTTGTCGGACTCGACTTCACCTCTCTCATACCTCGTAGGCTTAGGTCATTCCGAGAAATGGATGATATTCAAGATGAGAAATGAGATCCACTCGGAGAACGTCCGAGCGGGAAGACAGTGATGGATTGAACCCGCGGCATTGCGGAGGTCTTGAATATGCGGGCATGCAGAGTGATGTCACAAGGATGTGATTAAAGGGGAGTCGTGGGACTCATTCGCTTAGCTTCCCCTCAGGGAGTCGAGATATTTGGATATTTCCTCTTGCGCTGGCTTCGCTGTCCCCCCCGCACTCAGCCTTTACCTGCAATCTGCTCCATTGCACCAAGTTCACTGAAAGTGTGGAAACGCTCAACGATGAAAGTAATGATGTGTTGGTCTTATTTTCGAGAGGCCTTCACTGGGTGACAGGGAATGTAAAATCCTCGGATACGAGGATCCTCAACCATTCATCCATGAAAATAAGAATTTTGGAGGGAAATAAAAAGTTAGTGGGCACGACCGTAATTATTCTGGCGTGCATGAAGTTTATAAATTAATGAGACAAATGGAGACATTATTTTCATAAATTCTTGGCTCATTATTATTTTGAACTTCGGATTTCCATTCGTTCAAATGATGCGAGCATGAAGTCAGTTTTAATTCTTGTTTATGAATATCGACTAGGTAGATAGAAATTAAATTTTGCGCCATCAGGTGACTTTATGGATCCCTTGCAATTTTCAGATTTGCATTTTGGCCTTTTTTCTAGTGTTGATGACCCACTTCAAGATGATACGATAAATAAAAAAAATTAATAAAAACCATCGGCGGCGAGAAAGTAGTCTCTTCATCTGCATCAGGATCCACGCATTATCACATCACGTCAGAATATCAAGGAGAGTAATGGAAAGGAAATAAATTCGCTATTAAAGCAACCAGGAATTGAAACGTCGTGGACCTCGCGAGCAGCTGCGATTCACTCGGTCGTCCATTCCATGAGGCAAGCCCTGTGGAACGTCTCCACGTCCAGCCGGGCCACCAGCCTCCATTCCGAGCCGTTGTACATCTCGATGGAAGGCGTCTTCTCCCCGCCCACGGCGTACAGATTCCTCTCGAACGAGGCGAGGCCGTGCCTATACCGCTTCTCCTTCATGGGAGGCAGGAGTCGCCAGTCGTTCTTTCGAGAGTCGTACACGTACACGTGGGGGAGCTTCGGTTGGCCGCCTCTCCCGCCGCCGGACACGTGGATCTCGCCGTCATGGACGGTCACGCCGGGGGAGTTGAGGCCGCCGGGCCATTCCGTCAGCTCGCTCCACGTTTTCGTTCTGGTGTCCAAGCGTTCGAATTTTTTCCCGTTCGGGTAGCCTCCGACCACGTGGAGACAGGAGTCCAGGACCACCGCCCCGGCCGCGTGTCGCTCGTACTTCGCGTCCGGCACCCGGATCCACTTCCACGATCCCAGGTCGAACCGGCTCACGGTTTTCAAGAGATTCTTCTCTGCGCGGGATCGCCCGCCGCAGACGAACACGGATCCGAGTCCGACCCCCGATGCCGACCACTGGACGTCATCGGGCGGCGCCGGTCCGGTTTCCCACGCGCTCTTCGCCAGGTCGTACACCTTCAGCACCCCGACGCCCGCGAGAAACAGCTTCCTGTTCGCCGCCGAGAAAGCCATCCCGAAACATTTCTCTTCCTGCCACGGGTAGCGGGTCACGACTCGGAACGACAGGTCCCGGGGGCTCACGGACAGGATCTTCGCTTCGTCTTTGTATCTCCCCACGCACCAGAACGCTTGAGGGTACCGGTAGAAGCCGGTCCCCCTGGGCTTGGTCTTTTCCACCGGCACGGTGATCCGCAGGTCCGGCACGTGGAAGTCCTTCGCTTCCATGACGAGGGCGAGGCATCGTGGATCCCTGGAGATCTCGGGATCGCCGATGACGTGTCGATGGAGATAACGCAGCGGCAACAACGGCAGCCTCACCCGATTCAGCAGCGTCGACGTGTGCGCCTTCCTCGACGACTCGTAACTCACCCACCGCATCACCCCCTCGTAAATGTCGATCTCCGAGGAGACGTCCAAGTCGTCTCTCTCCAGGAACGTCTCCAGCGTCTCGACCGACACGGAAAGGAACTCCGGCGAGTGAATGACTTCTTGGAACCTCCGGGAAATGGATTCCATCGCCGCGTCTTCCAGCGCCTGCAATTTCAGGTTCTTGGCGACGGAAAGGATCCCAAATGCGTTCTGCGGTCGCAGCATCTTCTTCATCTTC